TTCATTCATTCATTCATTCATACTGGAGATGGAACCCAGAGGTGCTTTACCACTGAAAATGTCCCCAGCCCTTTTTATTATTTGTTTTGAGACAGGGACTTGCTAAGTTGCTTAGGGTCTCATTAAGTTGCTGAGGCTGCCCTCAACTTATGATCCTCTTGTCTCAGACTCCCATGTCACTGGGATTACACGCATGTGCCACCACACTCAGCTCTCCTTCCTTTTAAAATTCCTGTACAACATGAACTTCTTTGGAGCACTCATTCAGAGCTGTTTGAATCTTTATTTTCCCAAATTGCAATTCCCAAGATATATAAATAAAATGAAATAAGGATCTTTTGCTTTTATAATTTCTGAATTTAAATTGACCAAACATGCCTATGCACCTCATCAGCTGAGTATTCATCTGTGTCTTTTACAATATGCTCCATAATAAACCAGTAAATGTAAGTAAAATATTTCCATTAGTCCTATTAGCTGTCCTATCAAACTACTAAACCTGAGAAAGGGATTTGTAAATATCTTTATTTATAGCCAATTGGTCAAAAGTACAGGTCCATATTAGGATTTAAAATTGGTTTCTGTAGTAGGGGAAGTCTTGTGGGACTAAGCCCGTAACCTGTAGGAACTGGCACTATCTTCAGGTAGATAATGTCAGAATTGAACTGCATTATAGGATACCCAGTTGGTGTCCTCTAGAGAACTGTGTGGTATAAGTAGGAAAAATCCTAAATATCTGGTTATAGAAGTACTCTTTGTAAGAGTGTAGTAGGAGAACTGTTTCCTGTCTTTACCTGAAACCAGAAGTAACAGGTTTCCCTGGACAAAGTATTTTGAAGAGGCTATCTGGTATACCCTTCAACTCTGAAATTCTAACTATGGCTCTGTTCTAATGATACTGGTTCTATTCCTTTATCATTAGGATTTTTCTTTTCTGCATGGAATATCACCTAAACTGTGTACCACGTAATGTTTTTATGTATTACTTTAAAAAATGTTTCTGCTGACTAATACATTTGAAAAACACTAGGTCTCTATATTATAGGAATCTTTAGCACAGTGTTGTCCAAAATAATTTTTGTGATAATGAAAATGTTCTATGTATGGGTACTGAGCACTTGACTAGTGCAACTGAAGAGTGTAATTTAAAATTTTATTCATTTTAATTAATTTAAATAGCCACATGAATTTAGCTGCTAACCATATAGGTTAACCATAGCCTAATACCTTTAATATTCAAAAGTATATTGTGGGGCCTAGTACATGCCTGTAATTCTAGCTACTCAGAAGGCTGAAGCAGGAAGATTGCAAGTTTGAGGCTAGCCTCAGTAACTTAGTGAGAACCTGTCTCAAAATAAAAATAAAAAGAGAAGGAAAAGGTCTATATAGTTCAAGAGCTAGAGTACCCCTGGATTTCATCCCCAATACTGAAAGAAAAGTATACTGTAACTCTTGAAGAGCAAAAGAAACTTTCAGTGGTCACCATTGGCCTTAGAACATTTAAAAAATAATTATCTCACAACTAGTATTTTGAAGAATGCACTTTAAATACTAGGGTGGAAGACAAATTTCATTACTTCCTTTGTCTCTACCTCATTCTAGGCATGATTAATAGTGCCACGGTTCTGGATCTCGGTATGATATTGTAGCTGATGCAGTACAAGAGAATGATTCTAGTGCAAAGTAACAACTGTGTAGGTTGAAACTGAAAATTTTAGTCTTTTTGTGTGTGTATGCCTTAGACACAAATCCTTATAGTATAAGGTTATTGTCCCGGGGATTTATTTATTTATTTATTTTTCTGTGGTTATTGTTGTTTTGTTTGTTTTACAGTTCTGGGGATTGAATCCAGGGCCTTGTACATGCTACCAAGTAGTCTACCACTGAGTGACAACTCCCCCCCCCACCTCCTTCCTGTCTGTTTATAATTAAGGTACTATTATTGATATCATATTTCCAATTTTAAACAATCACACAATTACATGTGAATTTGGGGAACTTAGACACTAGCCAGAATTTGGTAGTATGATATCTAGCTCCTGGTTATCACAAGAACTGAAAACATGGGCCACAGCCCAGGTGATAAAATGTGGCCCATACTAGTAAGTTTCAATATTCAAATCAACTCTGAAATTAAACAAATTGAACTCAACACCTTCCTTTCACACAGTTTTTTTTTCCTCTCTTCACTTTAATCATTGAAATCACAAGTTAAATGCATAGGAAATGGTTCTCTCACTGAATAATGGAGATATTTGGATGCAGAATACCACAAGGAAATGAATAAATGCTTCTCTCACCAGGCCTCATGTCTGCAGCATCGGGACTTGGCATTCCCTCCTCAAAGGGGATGTCCATTCCTACATCCTCTGACAGTAGCCTGGAGAAAAAAAAAAAAAAAAAAAAAGCAGAGTGTAAAACACTGGGTGGGACTTTATTTTCTTTGAAAAGGAAACCCAGAGATTATCGGATACGATTTTCAACTCAAATGAAATAAGCCAAATATGTGCACTGAATCCATTGTTAAGTGACCCCCAAATTAGAACTGAGTTTCTGCAGTTAACTGTGAAGGAGAACCATGAACACCAATTTCATGGGCAACTCAAACTCCAAGTTCACCTGCGTACAGAAATGCCTTCCCCTCGAAGCTTACCCAAGTACAGTACAGGACCAAACTCAGAAACAGGAAATACAAACACCTAATAAAATATATTTGGGGGAATATTTAATATGTATTTTTTCAACAAGAGAAGCAATATATATATATATATTTTAGAGGAAAGAAGACCCAAGTTTGTATGTATTTCTCCCCTGTGTTGATTTGAGTACACGGCTTCAATTGCCATGGGCAGAGGACAGCATACTGTGCTATGTTCCTTCACTTTTTGAATATTTAAAGATTCATCATGCATATATGTTGGGTGGGGAGGATGGCTCTGGTCACAACTTACCAACTCTTGTGTCTATTTGGTGCTGAGCCCAGGCCATTTATATTCGCCTACTCGGTAAGAGGTTTGCAGGGAAATAGGAAAATACTGCTCCCCTGGAGAGAAGTGAGTGCCTGTGTCCTTGGCCCACCAACCCCACAAACCCTCTGAAAACACAACATCACAGAGTATTATGGTTTAGACCTTAAATGCCCCTCAAAGGCCCATGTGCTAAAAGCTTGGTTGACAGCCTGTAGTACTCTCGGGATGTGGTGGGAACATGTCCAATAGTATATAAGAGGTGCGGCCTAGGGTTGCAGATGTAGCTCAGTGGCATAGTGTTTGTCTAGCATGCACAAGGCTCTGGGTTCAATCCCCACCACTAAAAAAAAAAAAAAAAGAGCTGGGACCTAGTGAAAGAAAGTCAGGTCACTGAGGCATGCCCTTGAAGAGGGTGTTGGACCCCCACCCCCTTCCTCTCTTTCTTTGCTTCCCAGCAGCCATGAGGTGGTGCGTAGCTTCATGGCCATGCTTGGTTGCCAGCCATCATTCCCTCCATGATGTTCTGCCTTACCCCAGGCTCAGAGCAGCAGCGCCAAGTGACCATGGTCTGAAACTTCTAAAACCATGAGCCCAAATAACCCTTTCTTCCTTTTAAAGTGATTGTCTCATTTTTTTTTCTTTTTACCATAACAGAAAGCTAACACAGAGAGTTTCTCTCTCTACATAATTTCTGTGACTCTGACCTTGAATGTTATTTAAAGCTAAAGCTGCCCCCCAGCAGCAAGACAGCGGGCAAGGCTGGGGGTGCAGCTCAGTGAGACCATGCTTGCCTAACACATCAAGGTTATGGTCTGCTCCTAGCAGAAGAGAAACACAGACAGTGGGCAAGAGGCTGGCATGTGAGTAAAGCAATGATGCAGCAACAAGAAAATCTGTGCCACAGTGTGGCTCCCCACACGAGGTGAAGTCAACCCCATTGTTCAGCAGTAGAGGTGGGGGAGGGGACCACTGAGAAGTCCTATGTCAGGCCCAAGTTTGAAAGTCCTGGGACCCATAGGGATGGGTGTTTGGCTTCCCGTGCTGCTGAAGTTTGATTTTCTTACACTCACCCTTTTGTCTTCTGAAGCCATCTGTGTATATTCTCCTACATCAACCTCCTTCTAGTACCACTAATGACAAAATGCTATTAAAAGCAGCTGGATTCAAAACTTCAGTTTCATCACTGACTGTGTGTCAGACCACTTTATCTTTTTGTGCCTCAGTTTCCTTACCAATAAAAGGAGAATGTGCAATGCCTGAAAATAAGCACTGACAGAAAAGCAATGCATTGCATTGTAGCTCTTTTGGGCTTTCCATGATATTTGCTTTCTCCATTGAATTTGAAGCTTCATGAGAATAAGAATCATACCTGTCTTATTCATTATTATTGCAGCATCCAGTATAGGCAAACATCAATAAATATGTGCCAGGCAGAATTTTTGAGCCTGAAATACCCTAACTGCAAATATATATTATTTCTCTGGTTTTCTGTCCAAGAGTAAACCTTAAAATAAATAAATAAATAAAGACCTCAAATTCCTACCAACCTGACAGAGCACACAAACATGCAGGCCTAAGCCTCAAAATGAATTTGAAGGGTTTTAAAGTAGATCCAGAGTATTAGCTTCAATTCTGCAGGGTTTATAAATGCTTGTGAGTTAAGGACAGCATCATGGAATTACTAAAGGAGTCTCAGATGTGAGGTCATAGTTCTGAGTTATGGTTCACTGTTAGTACTGAAAAGCTGATTGACTCTAAGAAGATTAGCTGACCATTTTGGATTTTAAATGAATCGAACAAATACCCAACATCACAGCGTCTATGGTGAATAAATATAATACATATGAAAGCACTCTGTCAATTTTAGAATATTGAGTTTAAGAAACGCCCTCACTTCCCATTTAAAAAATATTACCTGTACCAATGGTTTAACTGAAGTATGTGTCATGGTTGGATAAAGCATAATTAAGGTTACTACAATTTGGGTATTAGCCCAGGCAAGGGATAATTTTACAACATCACAAATCTCCAGAGTATAGAAATGCCCTCAGACTCACTGACATTAGAGAACAGACCCTTTGCCTCTCAGCGCAGAGCAGGAGACCCTGTGAAGAAGGTGCTGAAAAGCCAGTGGTGGCATGCACCCAGGGAAGGGAAAACCTGAAGGCTGTGATGGGGACGGGGTGATTGGAGGCAAGGGCTCTCACAACCCCATGGATACTAAAGAGGGCTACGGGAACCTTTAAGAAAACCTTAGGGATGGGGAGAAATCTGAGCCAGAATAGTCTACAGGAAAGTTAGAGAGAAACCTAAGACATACTCTATAAATACTTCAATCACATTCATACATTGGGTTCATAAACATTTGTAGAAATGAAATGGCTAAACCAAACATAGTAGTTGGAGTGAAGCAGGCTGCTAATTTTATTTTTTCTTGCAATGCTGGGGATTGAACCTGGGGATCCATGAATGCTAGGCAAGCACTTTACCCCTGAGCTACACTCTCAGCCTCTGGAATAGTAGTTTTCTGATAAGCTATGGAAGCCTCTCAGAATCTGTTAGGTAGGTGAATCTGTCCAACCAAAAGATAGGTAGTTATATCTTATCTACCTATAACAAATGCTTAATTTCGGATCTTGTGTACACAAAATGGAGCTAACAAAGATGGTGACAAACACAAGTCTGACTCTACTGTGGCTAAACTAGCCATATGTCTCCACCTAGAGGATGAGACAGAAATCTTTTATGGTTTCTTTGCTGACTGATGCAGTATGTAGCTATATTGTTCTTCACCCATATTTCTGGCTCTTGGTCTTTGGTGTACATGTTAATATTTCACTTTCCTGCCCCTTGGGAGTTATAGTGGCTATGTAACATGGTTTGGCTGATAAAAAGGAACAGAAATACAGGTGTCTCTTCTGGGCAGAAGACTTATGAGCAAGTGCGGGTGCCACCTCCTTCCCACCTTTGCAGGGTTCTGAGTGCCTGTGGTAAGCAGAATCCCCTATGAAAGCTTGTGGGATATGTGAACAAGAAATGAATTTTCCTTCTGTTTGGCTATGAGACATTGGAGTCATTTGTTACCGTATCATCATCTATTACCTTTTTTAAAAATTTTTTTTTAGTTTTAAGAGAACACAATATCTTTATTTTGTTTCTATGTGGTGCTGAGAATTGAACCCAGTGCCTCACGCATGCTAGGTAAGCACACTACCACTTGAGCTACATCCCCAGCTCCCATCTAGTAGCTTTTGCCTATACAGCTTTTATTGATGTTTGAAGGGAATATCTAACTCACAATATGGGGAAAATTTTCTTTCCTAATTTGAGTAACCCATTTCCCCATTCCCCAGTCTCACATTGACAATACATAACTTCTTGTCAGGGTTGCTAAAGCATGCAAGAACATTTTAATAAATGAGCAACAGCTTCAGACAGACATCAAATGCTTTTGAGTATTCTATAAACTTTGGTATTAATGTGCCATCTTTATGGGGGTTTTTTGTCAGAGTCATCTGTTACTTGCCAATTTATATAACATTTTTCTTTCAAAGTGACATTTATTTATGTAAAGTTACTTTGATAGGAAGGTTTGTGTCACCGGTGTATACAGAAACTTAAACCACTCACTTAAAATACATGGTCACATAAATTGAATATAATAAAAATAATGCTGTTACTTTTGAATTGGACACCCCTGGATCTCACTCCACAGCTTCTCTCTTTACTAAAAAAGAGAGATTAGGAATTGTTAGCTATGTCTGGCAAGGTGTAATATCATGTACAGTGGCTCCCCACCTACATTATTTCATTTCCTGGGATTTCAGTTACTCGTGGCAAACTGAGCTCTGAAAATCTTAAATGGAAAATTCTAGAAGTAAGCAACTCATATGTTTTAAATAATTTACTATGATATATTGTTACAATTGCTATAACTATTTTATTATTGGTTACTGTTGTTAATGTGTTACTATGCCTAATTTATAAATTAAACCTTATTAAACATAGTATACATATATAGGGTTCAGTACTATGTGGTTTTAGACATTTGCAGAACATCTTGGAATGTATCCCCGGCAGATAAGGTGGGACTACCATATCCCTATAAATATAAGAAATGTACGAGATGGAATAGAATATCCAGAAGGTAATTAATACATTTCCAAGTTTAAAAGAAACCAAGGGAAATCCTTGGGTGCCAAATTGAAGAGTTATTGGAAATATGCTGAAAATGGTAGTTTGTAGGATTTCTAGACTGGACATAGGCCCTAGGGTCCCATGGCAGAAGAGACCTTTAAGAAAGGTCTAAATGAGGCTGTGGAGCTTAAAGAAATATTCCACTAGTATAAAGGGGATGAGAAAAAACTCTTTTCTTTGACCTTGGAAAGCACAGTCTACCAGGAATATTGGG